TGTGTTGCCACCGTATGTGCGCAGTTTGCCGGATGCAGGCAAAGCTTGCGCTAGGCTGGATGCACTCCAGGTCGAGAGAGCATGGAGCAGCAAGAGCTTCAGCAGCAACAACGGCTGCAGCGACAGCAGCAGTAGCCCCTGCTGCTGCCACAGAAGCAACTGCAGCAGTAGCAGTAGCAGCAGCAGCAGCAGCCGCTGCGGCTGCGGGAATGAGGGATGCGATCGTGAGGGCGTTTTAAACAAATCGGCTTCATTCAAGGATGTGCTGCGGCTGCCCATTAACTGGGCACGAAGACTGACTAATATGGGCAAGAAGGAGTCGTACAGAAGAGGCGCAGTAGCAACAGCAGCTTCCCATAAGCTGCCACCGCTGCAGCAGCAGCAGAATCGACCGCCTGCGGACGAACTTGGGCTGTCAGCAGACAGTTGCAGCAGTGGACTGCAGCACCAGGTGCCAGATGCAGAGCTGCAGCACCAGCAGAAAGTCTCTACCGGGCTGCACGAGGAGGCACAGCAGCAGCAGCAGCCAGAGCAGCAACAGCAGCAGCAGCAGCAGCATTCAAGACAGCAGCAGCAGCAGACAGCCACTACAGAGCGAACCTGTGAGGACGCAGCTCTCAGCCTGCTAAAAGCCACCTTCGAGCTGCACCGCGCAGGGCCACATACCCAGGGGTTGCTGTTACCACAGGCGGGAGCAGATGTCCCTCTGCTGCACTTGCTGCGGCTGCAGGAGGCAATCCTGCGCGAGCTCGTGCACTTGCGCCAGCAACAGCAGCAGCAGGAGCAGCAACACCAAGAACAACAGAGGCAGCTGCAGCAGGAGCAACCACAAGTCAAGATTCCATTTGCAGGACATAGCAGACACAGCAGCATAAAGAGCCTATTCTCTCTTCCTGCTACCTTTTGTCGGGGCAGCGGCAGCAAAGAGGAACTGCCTGCAGCAGCAGCAAAAGCAGCGGCTCCCTCCCACGTGGTAGCCACAAGCACGACTTCGAGCCTCCACGCTGCTTCCCTCCAACGAAGCAGCAGCTGCAGCAGCAACGGCAGGAGCAACAGCAGCAGGAACAGCAGCAGCTGCAGCAAAGGCTGCAACGACGCCATTACAAGTGCTTTCTTCGAGAGCCCTTTGCCGGAGGTGGGCGGTTGGTGCGCTGCTGCTGTGCACACAGGTTGCTGCTGTCCCTGAGGTGGTGCTGCAGCTACTGCTGCTGCTGCTGCTGCAACTGCTGCAGTTTGCTTTGCTGCTTCTACTGCTGCTGGCATTCCTTTGGGGTCACTTGCTTTTGCCCTGCCTGCAGGTGGTGCTCATAGGAGATACCCTCGCTGTGAGCCGAAGGGCCCACAGAGACTCGCAGCGGCTAGCAGCACTTCTGGACTGCAAAGGAGTTCCTTATTTGTTTATAGACACCAACGCGGCTGCTGCACAGGGTATAGCGCAGCGAGCTGCCCCGCACAGCAGCAGCTCTTAGGAGGGGCCCCCCGGGTCACTTGAGCTTGTAGGGGACCCCGGGGCCTCCTTGCTTTGCTGCTGAGCCCTTGAGTGCTTCATAGTCAAGGAGGGGGCTGGGCCAAAGAGGGCACCATTTGCTGAGCTCGATCTGCTGCTGCTGCGTCCGTTGCTGGTTTGCTGCAGCTCTGGGCACCCACGACTTGCTTCTCCTTGACCGTCTCCGCCAACAACAGCGGCTGCTGACTCTCGAAGCCGCAGGGGGGCCCCCCAGCGAGGCTGCTGGGCCTGGGGGCCCCTGGGGGAAGCCGGGGGGGCCCAGTCGTGGCCGTAGGAAGGCCAGCAAAAGGGGTAAGTACGGCCTAGCTCTGGGGGACAAGGGCTTGCTGCTGAGGGTTTGGTGCTCCGGGCATTTGCTGGTGCTGAACTTGCGCCGCTGCACTGCACACTCCGGTGCCACCTGTTGCTGTGTGCTGCTGCTGCTGCAGCTTCAGCAGCAGCTGCTACAAGCGCGGCTGCCGGGCCAGTGCCCCCCCAGCTGCTTATTGATGGGGCCCCTCTTGGGACTGCTGCGGAAGTGCTGGAGTTAGAAGAAGAGGGTTTTCTTGGTGGGCAGCTGTTTGTGCTTGGGGCCTCAACCTAGGGGTTTATCCAGTAGAAACAGTTTGGCTTTTTTTTGAGTTGTTCACTTTTAAATACCTTTTAAAAATGGCGTTTATCAAGATTTGATGACTTAGTTGGACCAAAAAATGGTTGAGATAATGGGGAGTAGATTGATTCGTTTAAATCTTTTCAGTTTTTTGCAGGTTCGCAGCAGATCATTGGACTTCATGTTTAGCTGTCGCTGCTTTCCTGCGTTATACTGCTTGTTTCTTGAGCTTGCTGCTGGTGCTTGCTGCTTGCTGTCTGCTGTTGCTGGTTGCTGCTTCTTCGTGCTCCTGCTGGCTGTTGTTTCTTCATGCTGCTGCTGTTTGCTGTTGCTGCTGCTTGCTGCTTGCTGCTGCATGCAAAGGCTAGACGTGTTCTTGCCTTCTGTCGCAGCAGCACTTCTAGAATCTGTGCTGCCTTAGGGTCACTTCTAGAGCCCAAAAGGCCAAAATAATTCAATAGATTTCTTCTTTGCTCTTGGGATTGGTGATGCCTGTGCATATATTTTAGGTCTTTAGAAATATCTGGCTGGAATGGGATTTAGGGCTTGGCGCGAGATGCTGCCTAAGGATTTGGGGTTTAGGGTTTAGAGTTTAGAGTTCAGCGCCAGATTGTTCTTTTGCTTGCAGACAGTATTCTAAACCGCATCCGGTGCCCGCGCTGCCTTTGTGTCCGACTTAGTGCCGTTCTCTGCAGCAGCAACAGCAGCACCAGCAGCAACAGCAACAACAACAGCAGCAAGCACCAATGGTGCCTTCAGTGCGGGTGTCGTTTGAGGCCCGTCGTGCTGGGAAGCGTCAGGCCAGCTGCAAGGCTGCGGTGGGTGTACAGGTGAGCAGCAGCAGCAGTGGCAGCAGTAGAAGTAGCAGTAGTAGTATGAGGAGCAGCAACAGCAGCAGCAGTAGTACCAACGGCAGCAGCAGCGGTAGCACCAGCAGCGGCAGGAGTAGCAGCGGTAACAGGACCATCAACAGAACCGGCATTCGCACGAGCAGATCAGCAGCAGCAGCGACAGCAGCAGCTGCAGCAAAGCTACAGAGACAAATTGTTACCAAGAATATGCTCGAGGCAGACATTTCTGCTGCTGCCTTTGCAGAGGGAGACTTCTGGGGCAACCGGCTGCCTGCAGCAGCAGGCGAGTCGACGCGGTCTCAGGTGCGCAGCGCAGCAACAGCAGCGCGGACTGAAACAGCAGCAGCAGGAAAAGCCTTCGGATCATGCGAGCGCTACCGTTGCTGTTGCTGCTGTAGCAAAGCACGCTCTGCCACTTTGGGGGTGTTCTTGCTGTGCTGGAGCAAGGCACATTTATGCCGCATTGTGGTGTTTTTGCAGCTTTCTTGAGCTCCCCAGGAAGCTGTCTGTACTGCGGGGGTCGCCTTGGGGCCAGCAGCAACAGCAGCAGCAGCAGCAGGGCAGCAGCAGCAACGACAAGCAGCTCGGAAACAGCGAATATAGTCGGAAGCAGCACCCCGGGCAAGCAGACTGTTAGTGAGATTTCCAGTTTAGGGGCCGGACCTCAATTGCCCGTCTATGGCGCCTGCCTGGCCTCCCCCCTTGGAGGGCGGCGCAGCACCGTGCCATCGCAGCAACAGCAGCAGCAGCAGCAGCAGCAGCAGCAGCAGCAGCAGCGACGGCCGCACAAGTGCCAAGAGACGAAGAGGCATCCCGTGAGAGGGGACAGTTTAACAGCACTTCGGTGCTTCCGTTGCGGCTTTGGAGCAGCCGAAGCAGCAGCATGTTCTCTCTTGGGGCTTTGCTGCTTCCCATTGCCTTTTCGCGAGGCCTGCGGTCTGCAGCGTACGTCTGGCCCCTAACCGCCCTTTTTTGTGTACTTTGCATCTTTTGTATCTTTTGTGTCTTTTACATTTGAAGGAAACGGCAACAAAGACGCTACAGCGCTTGGCCTGAAGCTCTCTCTCTGTGTCTTTGTGCTGCTGCGACGGCCCCGGTGCTGCTTTCCGGGCGTTGCAGCGCGCTGCGGTGTACGTACACTGGAACCAGTGTGCACATGTCAGGCTGGGGCTGTCGGGCGTATGTGCTGCTGCTGCAGCAGGAAGCCGCTACGTTTTCAGGAGCCCTTGTTGTGATGAGGAAAAGCCAGGGACTACGCGCCCAAAGGAAGCCAGAGTCGAGGTTTCTGAGGGGCCCCACAGTTTCTGCCCGAAAGTGTGGCTGCCTGTGCTGCAGCAGAGCTGCTGGCAGCAGCAGGGGCATTTCTTGTGCCCACGCTATGGGCTTTTTCCCGGCAGTGTGGGCCAGCCAGCGGCCAGTTCGTCCGTGGATCGGGGAGAGAGTTCTCTCTCAAGCTAGGCGCGCTTTTTAAACACTTATTGGCGCAGTCTACGGGCCTGAAGCGGCAAAGGAAGCTTCCAGGGAGCCACCGCCGGCGGTGGCAGCATCCACTCGCTCTACCGAGGCCCCACAGGCGCTTCTCTGGGTGTAACGAGCCCTCTCTAGGGCGTTTAGGGGTTTGAGACTCGCCACATGTTTGGGGCTGTGAATTTTAGGTAAGTTTCACCGCGTTATGAATAGCCTTACGGAATAGGCCATTGGTCCGCTTCGGTGCAGGCGCCGCGCGCGGCGTGAGGCAGCGCTCGGGGTGCAAAGCTGACGGCACGGCGGGTGATTAAGGGAATTTTTCAGTCCTTCGCAGTTGTTGTACACTTATTTGTTCTTTGCTTTCTAGCTTTAGCGTTTGAGGCGAGAAAATAGAGGGGAATGCACGGCGAGCATGCGAGCCCTCAGGAGGCTCGGAGTGACTCGGCGCCCCAGCTACATGACGCGGACCGCCAGCAAGCCACGGGGATTAAGCGAGGGGCATATTTCCTGGCTTTTGCAAAAAGCAAAAGAAAGCGTAAATTTAAATACGAAGTTAATTCTTTTGAGTATTTAGGGGAGGAGAGGGACTGCAGGGGCTTATGAAAACGGCTGGCTGTGTGGCGCCCGCGGTCGCGAGCCCACGCTGCGCCCGAGGGGGCGCAGAAAGAAGGCCATTTTGCCTATATTTTTGCTAATTTGCCCCTTCGCATGTTTTTAAGGGGATTTGGTAGTTTTTATGCAGAAAAAAGCAAAAACTAAAGCAGGCTGACTCCCTAAGCCCCAAGCGCACCTGCAGCTGCGCCTCGGGTCTGGCCCGCTGCTGCTGAGACGGCGCTGACCAGGGCCTCGTGCTCTCCGTGGACTCTCCTCCTCTTTTTTTGAGTAAATTTGACCATTGTTCTTTCGGTTTAACCTCATTGTGCACCTCGTCAAGCGTCTTCCAGTTCCTAGAGAGCCCCGGCTCGCCTGCCGTGTTCCCTGTAGCGGTGGCGGCTAGAGAGGGGGCCTCTTAGGGCGCGTCGCCTCCTCCTTGTTGGCTTATTTGGGGCCTCCAGCCCTCGTTTTTGGTATCTTTTACTCCCTTAGGTGCATCTAAGAGCGCCACTTCTCTTTTTCCTGGTAGAAGAGGGCCCGCAGGCTCCCCCCCAGCACAGAGAGAAACAACAACACAGCCTAGCGGCGAGCCTACAGCAGCCGAGGGGCACTTGCATGCAGCCCTGACCCTTAAATTTAAACGTGTAGAGAGTCTGGCCACTAGAAGGACTTCAGTAGGCTCTGTAGGGCCTTTAACAGCTGCGCGCTTCCCCTCTTCTTCGTTCCCAAGGAGGCCCCCTTCTGAGGGGCCCATGCTGCTTCTTGGGGCCTCTATTGCCGCTCTCTGGCTGCCGCGCTTTTAAACTCTCAAAGAAAAAAAGAGCCCCATAGTCCTTTGTCGGCCTGCCCGTGCGTGGTCGCTGGGTTGGCTCTTGCAGCAGCAGCAGCAGCAGCAGCAGCAGCGGCAGCAGCAGCAGCAGCGAGCGCTGCAGTGCAGCAGCAACAAGTGGAGCAGAACGTGCGGCAGCAGCAGCCCCTCCAGTTTGAACGAAGCGATGGTCTTCTCGGCGGCGCCGCGGCGACTTTGCATTTGTCCCTTTTTGAATCGATTTCGCTAACTCAGCCGCTGCTGCTGCTGCTGCTGCTGCTTGCCTTGAGGGCCCCCCAGCCGCCCCCGGGGGCCCCTTGGCTGATGGCGGGGCAGTCCCAGCCGCTGCAGTTCCCCTACCCCTTTACCCACCCCCCCCGCTCCCTCCCGGGCCCCCCCCCGGGGCGGCCTCGAGATGTTGATGAGCCAGAAAAACACAAGACCGAGCCCCACGTCTTAGAGTGGCTACTGCGGGCCAAGGCGGAGCTGAGGGCCCCCCCGGAGCCGGACTCTGGCGGCCAGGCTGAGGGTCTTGGGGGCCCCCAAGAGAGGCGGGGCGCCCCCGATGCGGGTGAGCCCGAGGGGGCCTGGGGCCCCCGGGACCCCGGAGGGGTCCCCGCGGGGGGCCCCCCCATTGATAGACCCAAAGCCAGAGACTGGAAAGAAGAGATCCAGACAGCTTTGAGATATTCCCAAGAAGTCCCTTTCTGCGAAGCCGGGGCACACAGCGGCCAGGGGGCCCCCACGGGCAGCGCAGCGCATGGAGCCTCGAGGCGGGGTGCCCCGAGGAAGGATCCGGGGGCCCCCACCTCTGCATCTGAGGCGGATGCAGGGGCCCCTCGCCCCTCCAGGAGGCGCCCTGTGGGCTCTGCTGCTGCAGCTGCTGCTGCAGCAGCAGCTGCAGGCGGCCCCCTAGGGGCCCGTGGGGGATCCCAGGAGGGGGCCCCCTCCCCTCCAAGTAATGGGGTGCCCCTCAGCACAAGTCTGAGCTGGACAGAGAGTGATGAAGATGGCATGCCTGTCTTTCTTTCGGGGGAGGGTAGCACACTGCTGGGCAAGCAGTATGGGGGGCCCCAGTGGGGCCTCGACGAGAAGCAGGCTGGGGAGCCCCCTGGGGGCCCCCTAGCCCAGGGGGAGGGGCGGGTACGAGGGGCGACCTCGCCGAGCCCCTCTGGGTCCGATCTTGCTGCTACTGCTGCTGCTGCAGGTCCTGCAGCCGCAACTGCTGCTGCTGCTGCTGCCGCGCCTGCAGCAGCTGCTGCAGCTGCCTCTCGGGGTGCAGCGGACAGTGCTCGCGGGCGGCCGCCGCTTCTGTCTGGGGTCCCCGTGGAGGCCCCTGAGGCCCTTCAGGGGCCCCTTGCTAGCTGCGCTGCAGAGGGGCCCCCATCAGCCGAAGCAGCAGCTGCTGCGGGGCCCCCCCCCAAGGGCAACACGCAACTGCCGTTCACTGGGGATCGGTCGATCCCAGCTTCTCCCCACGGCTGTGGGGCCCTCGCCCCACAGTTCTCTCCTGTGGCCTACCAGGTGTCCCCGCAAGGGCCTCAGGGGGCCCCGAAGGGGCCCCCCTTGAAGGTGGCGGACCTCCCGCTGTCGCCGGGGCCCCAGGGGAGGCCCTACAGGCCAGCCAACAGCAAGCTGCGGGGGCAGCAGGCCGCTGCTGTGGAGCTGCTGCGGCCGGAGGAGCAGCTGCAGCCGCAGAAGCAGCAGCAGCAACAGCAACAGATGCTAGAACAGAAGGACCAGCAGCAGCAGCAGCAGCAGCAGCAGCAGAGGCAAGAATGGGCCGCCTGCAGGAACAGCACAGCACTTGAGCTAACTGAAGCTACTGACGCTCCCTGGCTGTCGTTAGCAGCCGCAGAGCTGCCTTCCGCAGCGACAGCGAAAACAGCTACAGGAACAGCAGCAACAACAGCAGCAACAACAACAGCAACACCAACAGCAGCAGCAGCAGCAGGGAAACCCCAGACAGCGACTGCCGCACAGGTTGCAGCCATGCTCCCGCCTGAGTCATTTGCTACAAGGGTTAGGAGGGCTGCGCTTCAACAGCAGCAGCAGCAGGAACTGCAGCAGCAGCGAATGCTACAACATCACCAAGAGCCGCTTCAGCAGCAGCAGCACCACGAATCGCAACAACAGCAACTCAGACAGCAGCAGCAACAGGAACAGCAGCTGGTACTGCAGCAGCTGCAGCACCAAGAGGGGCAAATATATGCCCAGCATATGCATCAGGCAACCGCCGTGTATTCTTCCATTCCACAAGACCAACAGCAGCAGCAGCACCAGCAGCAGCAGCTTCTCTTTTTTCAGCAGCAGCAGCAGCGGCTGCAGCAGCCGCTGCAAGCTTTCGCATCCCCCCACCCCGAAATCGCACCCCAATTATCGCAGCAGCTCCTGCCGCAGCAGCAGGTGCAGCAGCAGCAGCAGCAGGAGTGGTTCGTGTGGCTCCAGTCAACAGCCTCCGTCCACCAGCAGCTGCTGCTTAGGGGGCCCCCAGCTCCAGCCCTCCAGGAGCAGCAAGAGGGGCAGCTCTTTCTGCCTCCTTTGCCCCCCGCCAGGTCTCGGGCGAAGCAGCGCCCCTGCTCTTTGGGCGCGTGGATAGGCCCGGGCTGCTGACAGCTAGCTCAGCAGCTAGCTAGCTAGCTAGCTAGCTAGCTAGCTAGCTAGCTGGTTACCCACCCAGCTGGTTAGCTAGCTAGCTAGCTGGCTTGCTAGCAAGCTAGCTAGCTTACTAGCTAGTTAGCTGGCGGGGCAGCTGGCCACCTGGCTGAGTAGCTAGCTAGCTAGCTAGCTAGCTGCACAGCCGCGCATGGCTCGGCTCTACTGCGCCTCAGCTGTTCGGCTTGCGAAACCCATTTGCCATTATATATTCCACCCTCAGTGACAGCCGCGCAGATTAGCTAGCTGGCTAGCTAGCTAGCTAGCTGACGAGCTAGGTACCCGAGTAGCGATGCATTCATTCAAGTCTTATCGCTCTTTTAAATCTGCACCTGCGGTCATCTAGATAGCATATCAGTCAGATAGCTAGCTGGCGAGCTAGCTAGCTAGCTAGCTAGCTAGGGTGCTGTATTTATTGTTAAAGAGTCATTTAGCCTGTTAGATTGCCGGAAACACCCACACCCGCCTCAGAAAAGGCCTTGCAGAGCGGCTGTCCCTCTGTAGCCTCCCGCTGCAGCTGCTGCCGCTGTTGCTGCTGCTGCTGCTGCTGCTGATGCTGCTGCTGATGCTGCTGGGTGTTACCCCGATTTCTCTTGTCTATCCCTCTTTAGCCCCTGTCGCTGCATTTGTCTCTCTGTGGAGCCATAAGCGTCCCTACTTCGCTGTGGCGCTGTGGCTTGAAGGCGAGTCGCATGCAGCGCGCGTGAAGCGTGCATGCAGCCCCAGAGCAGCTTGAACGCATGGTACATGCATGCTGCATGCATGCTGCATGCAATGCGCATGCATCCCCAAAGCAGTTTTGGCCCTCGACAGCTGCAGCATGCACGGGGCTTTCGTGCAGTCCTGCTGCAGCGCGCATGGATGCTGCATGCAGGGCTGCTGCAGAAGGCATGCAACCCCACTAAGCACAGGGGCTCCAGCCACAGAAAGACACAAGAGAGGACACAGCTCCACATAGAGCTGCCTTTGCAGCTGCTTCGCATTTGCACTAATCTCTAAACACCTCTTATTGAGGCTTTCCAGTTTCCCCACCCCAGAGTCCTCTCTTTGCTCTAGGCCTCCTCATTCCACGGGTGTTTCAGCAGCAGCACCAGCGGAAGCAGCAGCAGCTGCAGCAGCTGCTGCGAGGCGCACAGCTGCAGCTTGGAGGCCCCGCGCTGCACAACAGCAGAAATATTGGCCGTTGTGTGTGTGCTGCTGCTGGGCTGATCTAGCTTCACCAGCAGTAGCAGCAGTGGCTTGCTTCATCTCATAACCACCGCCCTGGGGCCTTAAAATATATTCCCCTGTCTAACTAACTTTGCCCTCCGCTGCTTCCTTTTCGGGTCTGCTGCGTCTGCTTCTGCTGCTGCCTCTGTTGCTGCCAGCTCCTCGACATAGCCAGTCTGGCAGCAGCAGCTAGAGTGCTGCTGCTGCACTCGTTGTCGCTGAGGCTCTAGCTGGCGCTGTAGAGAAAGGCTAGTGGCTAACCGTGGCTGCGTGTAGCTAACTGTAGCTAGCCGTAGCCATCTGTAGCTAGCTGTTGCTACGTGTAGCTATCTGTAGCTAGCTGTAGCTCGCTATGGCTACCTGTAGCTAGGCCTAGCCAGCTGAAACCAGCTGTAGCTAGCTGTGGCCACCTGCAGCTAGCTGCAGCCAGTTGTATCTAGCTGTAGCTAGCTGTCGCTAGCTGCTGCCCATGCCCTCCTACTTCGTTACTGAAGCAAAAACTGAAGCGCCTCCCTCTAGGAAAGCCGTTGGGTCTCGGCGAGGCACCCTTTAAGTAAATGGGCCCCTGCCGCTGCTGCTGCTGTGTCTCTCTGCCACTGGCTTTCCCTGCATGCGGGCGGCCTTCCGCAGCAGCAGCTGCTGCAGCTGCTGCTCCAGCAGCTGCAGCGTGAACTGCAGCAGCAGCTGCTGCTGCAGACGCCTGACACCGCCGCCCCTCCCCTTAAGGGCTGCCCACGAGCTAGCCCATGCGTGGGGAAAAGCAAAAGAATAAATATAATAACGCCGAGGGTCATATACAAAAACAAAGAAGGCCAGAGGCAAAAAGCAGGAAAGACATACAAGGAAAAGCGCCCCTGTCACCCGCCTCTGCGCTAATGCCAAGCGCCTTCAGAGCGGGAATTCCCAGCTTCCACTTCAACACAGGCACAAACCCCCAAAGCAGCAGCTACTTGACCAGCTAGCTGCGCAGCTAGCTAGCCACGCCGTTGCCTCGCCAGCTTGCCACGCAGCTAGCGAGCCACGCAGCTAGCTAGACACAATAGCTAGCCGCGCAGCTAGCTAGCCATGCAGCTACCCTGCCGGCTAGCGACGCAGCTACCCTGCCAGCTAGCGACGCAGCTACCCTGCCAGCTAGCTACGCAGCTAACTAGCCATGCCGCTGGCTCGCCAGCTAGCTAGTCACGCAGCTACCTGGCTAGCTAGCCAACTGGGGATGCTCTAGTGTTTCAAAGCGGCAAACTCCGTAAGATTGAAACCCACATGCGCGCGCGTCGGAAGCACCATTAACGCCGATGCAGTGAAATTGCTGCTGCTGCTCTTATTGCTGCTGCTGCAGCGCCGCCTGCTGCGCACCAACCTGCTGCTGCATGCGTCCCGCGAAAATAGACTGTTGACTTGTACTACAATTGCCGTCTACCGGATCCCCTCTTATACTGCCTGTTTTGCTGCGGCAGCTGCTGCAGCAGCTGCTGCTGCAGCAACTGCTCGTGTTACTTCTTTTGCTGCTTATTCTTCTTCGTCCGTAGCGAAATCCGCTGCCAGTGCTGCTGCGTATCGACCTGCATATAGCGGCCTCTTGAACAAGTCCCGCTGCTCCTGTCATTTCTTAATACCTCCCTCAAGTGAGCTCTGCTGCATGCATTCCTAGCATCGCTGCCGCTGCAGTTGCTGCTGCAGCTGTTGCTGCGGCAGCAAATTCTTCTTTTGGCGCTGCAACAGCAGGTGCTGCTGTTGCTGCAGCTGTAACTCTCGCCTTGTCTTCCTGGGCTTGCCACTGTTGCTGCTCATATCTTGTGTACAGCATCCTACTGTGCTGGTCTCACAAATGCAGCTATTATTTTTGCTGCTGCTACTGCTGCTGCTGCTGCCATTCTTGTGGGGCTGCCACAGTTGCGTCATCCTGCTGCTGCTCCAGCTTCTCTCCCTGCCCCAGCTTCTCTTTCTCCTCTTGCTCCTCTTCCTGTTCGTAATTCTGTTCCTGCTGCTCTTGCTGCTCCTGCTCTTCTGTCTGCTCATGCACTTGCTCCTGCTGCTCGTGCTGCTCTTGCTGCTCCTGCTGCACATCCTGCTCTCGCCGCTCATGCGGCTCCTGCAGCTCGTGAAGCTCGTGCTGTTCCTTCTGTTCCTGCGGCTCCTGCTGCTCGCGCTGCTCGTGCAGCTCCTGCAGCTCGTGCAGCTCTTGCTGCTC